AACTATTAAAAAGGATCAACCTAGTCTTATAGCTTAAAAAGGAATTTAAAAAATCCTTCGATAATTTAATAATGAAGTTCGAACTATTAAAATTAAATCTTTTTACGATAAACACGAAACATAAGTCAGACTTAAATAACTTAAACGACTCGAAAGATTCGGAAAACTAAATTACTTAAGCCGCTTTAGCGATAGCGTAAAATTTATTTAACGAAAAAGAGTTCATTTTCGAATTAAAAGAACCTTTATTAAGCAACCTTTTTAACTTAAATAATGCAACGATAATCTTATAACACAAAGAACCTCAACCTTAATCTTAATACAATGCTACTAAACACTACTTAAAGAATTCACTCTTATATAAATCGATAAAAAAGACTTGCAAACATTATTCTTAAAAACTAAAGCCTTAAGATTTATTAAGACTACGAAGAATAATATATTAAAGATCTAGTCGAAATTATATAAGGTCTACTTAGCAATAAAAAGCTTTTCGATAAAGAAAAGAGTTATTAGATTACTACGTAAAGACTTAAGATCTTTTATATTAAAAAAGTAAGCAATAAAATGCGGACTCATTTTTAGAAATAAAATCTTATTAGATAAGTTAAAAGATATTTAAGTTTTGATATACATATATCGAAAAGTAAATAGCGCAAGATTCGATGATTTCTTTTATATAAACCTTATCACTTATCGATATAAGGTTTTTAAAAAAGCTATTTTAATAGCAAATAACGTTTCGAAACGATACTTATTTATAAAACTAACATAGTTATATAAAACGATTAAGAAAAGAATAAAAAATAATATATTTAAAAGCATAATGCTTGCAAATAAAAAGCTAAGTGATTAGAATAGCTATTCGAATTTAATTTAAAAGTCGAAAGAATTAAAACCCGAGAAAAGTGAGTTCTAAGTCACGTTCGATTACTTAAAAATAAAAGAAAAGATCTTAAAATGCATATTAATTAAGCTAAAAGAATGCTACGAGTACTTAAACTATTTTTAATATAAAGTGTTTTCTTAAATAGATTTTAAATACGAATACTAATCGGTATTTATTTACCTCGACGACCGCTATATCTACGCCTTTTTTATACTAAATCACTTTTAATTGCAATCAATTCGAATAACTTAAGAAAAAGGAAGCTCGGCCTTTATATTTAATAAATTAATAAAGATTATATTCGAAAAGATATTAAAGTCTTAAAAAGTAATAAATAAAGGATTTGATAACTTAAAACCTTTACTTTTCTCTTTTATATTTAACGAAAACGAAACATCCTTATTAAAGCTGAAATATTATATAAACGACGTTTTCTTAAAGGCAAGAAATTTTAAAAAGGCATTCACTTTTCTAGAACAATACTAGCTACCGCGCTTATTATAGTCGCAATTAAAGCTCACCTTTAAGAAATATTTCTTATTTACCAGGGCAGAGGACCAAGTTCTCTGTAGTGTCACTAACGGGCTAATTACTTATTAGTATATTATTAAATTAGATTTTTATAAAATTAATAATTAGCCCGTTGATAATATTATATCGGACTTTATGTTTTGTTAAATATCAAACTTATTAAATAGATCGTAAAATAAAAGTAAATATATATAAAAGTATTATTATATTAAAAACTATCGAGTTTATAATTTATTATAAAGGGGAGACCCCCTTAAACTCCCCTTTATTACTTATCTTTTCATTTTTATACCGAGGAGACCCCGGACCCCCTTTATTACTTATAATTATATATTTACTTATATTACGAAAATATTAGAAGTTACAAAAGTTATAAAAGTTACAGAAGTTATAGAAGTTGCAGAAGTTACAGAAGTTACAGAAGTTATAAAAGTTATAGAAGTTACAAAAGTTATAAAAGTTACAAAAGTTACAAAAGTTACAAAAGTTATAAAAGTTACAAAAGTTACAAAAGTTACAAAAATTATTATCGAGTTTATATTTTATTATAAAAGGGAGACCCTTTTAAACCTCCTTTTATTACTTATCTTTTCATTTTTATACCGGGAAGACCCCGGACTCCCTTTATTACTTATATTTATATATTTACTTATATTACGAAAATATTAAAAGTTATAAAAGTTATAAAAGTTATAGAAGTTACAGAAGTTATAAAGGCTATAAGATCATACAAGTCACAAAAGTTATAAGAATTATTAAGTCTAAGAATATGCATTAAAAAGGGTTTAAACCCGAATCTTTAACTCAGTTGTAGAAGGTGCACCTAAAGGAAGGGGGGAGGAAGGGGGGAGGAGGTCTCGAGCAAGAGAAAGGGGTCTAGGTCCACGTTTCTTACGTGAGCTCTTTTTAAACGCAATACACTTCCGAAGAGACCACCGACAGCGAGCATACGCATCCTTCGAATTAAATATTTATGCTTTACCGGCCGAAAAGTATGCTTAGCACTCTTAGCGGGCAGCAGCGCACGCATCGCAAAGCGGGTCTACTAGCTCACCTTTATATATTTGTATTAGCTTAAGGTTGCTAGAAAATAAAAGTAATTCTTATAATTCGGTCTCTATGATACGGCCGACGTGGCCGATGATAGCACGGCGAAAAGAGAAAAGCTTTGATAAGTCCGATTGCTTATACGACCACCATATGCTTATAGCGGAAAGCGTATATAGGTCCTTGTTTTTCTTTTAAGTAGTCTATGCTTAAAAGAGCCGCGCAAACCCGGCAATTGATTAAGCTTATTTAAGCTAAGCCTTAATAAGAAGGGTCCCTCTACTAACGGCCGGCGGAGACGCAAACATCTATTAATCTAATTAATAAGCATCAATAAAGGATATGAAAATATACTTACGCTTATGCTTTATTATAAAGGTAAGATCGGTCCAAAGCTTGTAAGGCGAAGGGTAGCAAGTGGCGTAGCAAAGGGGGGCACGGCGGCGGCGAAGAATATAAAAGCCGGAGCGCTAATAAGAATCGATAAAGCAAAAGGGACGAAGATAAAAAGGAAGAGAAAGCGAGAGATCATTAGCTTATTCATATCGTCGTCGTCTTCGAATCTATATATATATATATATATCATTAGCGTAAGTAGCTTAAATATATCACTTGATTTTAAGATGACTTATATTACGGGCCCAAAATCCTTTATTACCTCATCCTCTTCTACCTTTCTCTCAACCTTTCTTATTACTAAGTCTATAGCAGCAAAAGGGAAAAAGAAAGGAAGAGGCAAGGCAGCAGCGAGGACGGTATGAAAGGGAGAAAAAGAAGAAGAAAAAAAGCGAAAGATCATTAGCTTAATCTTATTATCATCGTCGTCGTCTTGATTGAATTTATATATAATATTAGCGTAAGTAACTAAAATGTATCACTTATCACTTACACCGCGGGCTTAACCAAAGCAATAAGCAAAGCAAAAGGCAAGGCTTATTAAGGAAAAAAGAAGAGGTATAAAAGCAGCTATTGCTGCTTGCAAAGTAATTGTACTTGCCGCTTATAGGCCGGATCCGGCCGACCCACCCGCCTTATATAAAATCCGTCTCGAAGGTTGCGCTAGCGAAATGAGATCATATTGCTAATATAATTGTAATCGTAGTTATAGCTGCAATTAAGGTTAAAGTTGAGGTTAAAGTTAAGGTTAAGGTTGGAGTTAAAATTGATATTAATATTAATATTAAAGTTAAAAAAAATATTTAAGTTATAATAAATATTCAAAAGTGACAAACGAATTCACTTTTTAAAAAGGTCCGTGCTTAGCTAAATTCTCACACTTGCTATATTCGTCGGTATAGCAGTATATCTATATTATATTTTATAAAGTAACTTATAACTCTTATAACTTTTATAACTTTTATAACTTTTATAACTTCTATAACTTTTATAACTTATATAACTTTTATAATATAAGTAAATTTTCGCTTTTGCTAAATCCATCGGCTTAGCATGCATAATCATATAAAATTATTAAGTTATAAAAGTTACAAAAGTTACAAAAGTTACAATTGATTCGGCGCAATTAAAATTATAATCTAAATACATTATTTACCCTTAATCAATTGCTAATAGCTATACAACCACCTTTAATAATAAACTATTAATGTATATCTTATAATTCGTTAAGCTTATACTCTTTTATGGCTATCAATCGGTAAGCCTTAAGCTCGATCTTTGCGTAAGCTTTTAAGCTTTAAATAGCCCTTTTTATACGCCTATTTGAAACACATAAGCGCTAAAAGGTCCGCTTATTGCGATAGTAATAACAAGTATATAAGTTATCCAGCTCTCTTTATAAAAATAAACTTAAACAGCTTTAATAAAGTTCGTCCGCTAATTTCGCTATATATTCCGATATCATTACATTTATTAAATTACTAACCAAACACTTTCGAGCTGTATTTTAAATAAAGTACTCTTTAGCTAGCTCGTAGCGTCGTTAATAATAGCAATCTAAGCAAGTAATAAATCGCAGACTAGTATTTAAGATAAAAAAGTATAGCAATAAGCGGAAGCTGCTGCACTTAATGCACTCGATTTTAATAAGTCCTTTAGGTAGCTAAGCGAGTGCGAAAGGCGTAAGACGCGGTAGAGATTAATAAATCGTATTCATGCTTAGCTTAAAAGTTAGAAAGAATAAAAGAAAAGGCAAATCTAACGCTAAATCTAATGCTTCCGCTTTAGCCTTAATCTTATTCGATTGCTCGATCTGCTTAAAAGCGCGGTATACTTCGGGATCGTTATATATTTTCTTATCTTTATATATCGTATATATGAATTTAAAAAGATCCGTAAGTATAATATCTTAGCCTTCTTTTTTGCTTACTTCGCTCTTTTATTTGCTTTAAGCATTATCTTATATCTTATCATTGCCTTGAGCATTATCATTAGTCTATTAACTGCTTTAAGTATCGATAAGTCTTTTAAAGTTGATCTCATTTATAATGCGAGTCATCTCGTCGTCACTACCGAAAAGATCGAATGACTCATATCGATAGCGTAATAAGCTAGATAATAATGCTATAAGAGCGCGTTATAAGGTTGCGTAATAAAGGTCTTTTAGTAAAAGAGTTTTTAATGGTAGTATAATAGCCTCTTCTTTAATATCCCTTTCCTCTTTAATATCGCCCTTTTCCTTAAGGTCGCCCTCCTTCTTAATATCGCCTTCCTCTTTAATATCGCCTTCCTCCTTAATATCCCCTTCTTCCTCAATGCCCCCTTCTTCAATCTCCTTTTCTTTAAGCTCCCTTTCTTTAAGCTCCCCTTTTTCAATATAATTGATAGTATTCTCTTTCTCTTGCTTCGTATTCATAATAGCAATAAGAAAAGCGATGAATAATTGATTACTATATATTGTTTGATTTTAATATATCGTAAAAATAAAGTGTTTAAATGCAAAGAAAATATTTTATTAAGATTAAATGCACGTAGCAATAAGCCTTTGTTTGAATTAAGCGAGGAATAAAAGCTTCTTATTGGTTCTTATAACTTTTATAACTTTTATAACTTTTATAACTTTTATAACTTCTATAACTTTTATATAATATATAAATATATATATTTATACGTTTTATAACCGCTATGCAAGCTGCCTTCGATACATATAATCTGTATCCCGATTAATACTAGTATTAATAGACTTTTTTTTTAAAGCGGCAAAAATCAAATACATTCTTAAATATAACCCTCGCTAAAGTCTTCACTTTAAAAGCTGATACATAATATAGCTTATAAGCAAATTTAGCTTTAGCCTAGCTAATCATTGCTTTAATTAAAGAAATTCCTTGACTTTTATATACCGTGATTGCGTAAGCCACGCGAAAAGAAAGCTGCCGACGATTGCAAGGTTTATTATCGTAAAAAAAGTCTCGATCGACGGTAAATATTAAGAACCATCTAGTTTTTTCGAAAGTAAGATTAATATAATCCTCGATCTCTATCATAATGCCTTGTGGCAGTTCTTTACGTGGTTTGGCCCTTGCTTCTTAAAAGATATCCTTAACTATTCTTATAAACTTATTAATTATTTTTATTTTTATTTAAAGATTTTAATTCAATATCACTTTAGCTTTAATATATATATTAATGCTTTGCTTTAAGCCCTCAGCTTCTTTCTAATCAGCGTTATAAGCTTTTGCGCTGCTTGTATTTTCTAATTTAAGTTTTAAGATAAGCGCGTCTAGCTTTTTTAACTGCTCGTAGTTATATTCTTTAACTTTCGCGTTCGTAAAATAAATACAAAAAGCATCTTTAAAAGAATCTTTATTAGCCGGCCGGATATTCATTTTAGCTCGAAAAATAAAGAGTTCTTAGCTATTTATCGAAAGGTTATTTTCTCGGAGTTTTAAAAGTGCTTTGCGGAAATTGATAGCTTTTAAAGACTCGCTTTCTTGACGCATAATGACCTTAAATCGAATAGTTTTATTAAATAATCGATAAAAAGACTAACCGATCTTTTATTTCGGCGAAAAGTTATAAGTTACAAATAAAGACTTCCTTTTAACTAGCGGTAATTAATAAAAATCATTACAAAAGTAAATACTTAAATCTTTAAATAGCTCTTAAGATTCAAGGAAAATCTAAGCATAGCGCCGTTGAATTCGAGCGAAATCCTTTAGATTAATCATTAACTTCTTATTAATAATTAAATATTTGCAATCTTTAAATTTCGCTTAGAGAGTCTAGAGGGTAGCAAAAGAATTATCTATAACATAATGTTTAATTAATAGCGCTAATAAGGAATATAATATAGCTTTTGCGATGCTAAAAGCAGCAACACTTATAAGCGCTGCTCGGATAACTGGATTTGGCTTGCTAGCTTTATCCGCTATATCTTAAAGCCGAACGCAAATAGCTAAAATAAAATAAGTTTTACTCGTGCCAGCCTTGCTATCGAAATGAATTAGCAGCTGTAGAAAGGGTTAGTTTAATAATACTATAATATAATGGTCTATTATAGAATAGTAAAACCTTTTCTGCTTATCGAAAAGCTTTTTAAAGTTATAATCTCGAGTAGCGCTAACTCGCATATTAAATACTCTTGCAGCAGCTTTCCAATTTCGAATATAAGTAAATAAAATATTATATTTGCTAACATATGAATCTCAATTATAAGTAAAATCTTCGAGGCGATTCGATATATCGTTTTCGTTTATAAAAATAATATTAAGATTTCGAGGATTCCGTAAGTTCTATTCTTTTCTTACGTTAATATCATTATTATCTCGAGGCTTAAGGCTTTCTATATCGTATTCATCGTTTAAACTAGCTTTATCTTTTTCGTTAGCTATAAAAAAAGGATCGTAATAGTCGAGCATATGCAAAGAATCGCTATAAAGATCTCGATAAAAGCGCTTGTAAGCGCTATAAGCTAAAGCGAATATCGGATGCTCTTCCTCGGTAACATTAGTAAGTAAATCGTCCTCTTTTCGATAAAGATAATGCAGCATTAAGTAAGTGCGCGCGTTGTATTTATAATTATTATAGATCTTAATATTTAAGTATTAAAAAAAGTAATTAATGATCCAAAGCTTGCTTTTTCGTAAGAAGTGCTTTTTTTTGCAAGTATATATATCGTAAATTTTAAGGAAATCTAAAAAAGTAACCTTTTCAACTCGTTCGAAGCGTTATCGGTATCGCTAAAGGTTAGAGAGTTTAGATTTTAATCCATACTCATTTAATTCTACTTAATACTTCTTTTTTTTATCTGGTCGGCAATTTAAATTGATAAAGTTTCGAATGGATTTAATCAAATTAATCTTTAAGAGCAAGTGACAAACCTCTTAAGCGCTATAATCCCTTTCTCTTAGCAGCTTATTAAGCATCTTAAAGACTAGCGAAAAGGCTAGAGCCTTAGCGTTAATATATTTTAAAACCATATTAATAATATCTTTATAAAAGTCGGATTCTTTTTTGTTGGATTGCTTTCAAGCGATTAGGAATATATATTCGTAAGGTCGTAACGGTCGTCAAAGTACTTGCAATTGCAAAACACTCGATTGATAAGGTATCTGAATTCTGTCCTCTCCCTAAGGCTCAAGAGAGCTAATTCCTTTTATACGATTAGAAGGAATCACGTGCACTAGCTAGCTAATAAGTTTACTTGTCAAGTTAAAGGTCCCTTGACTGCTGATATGCTAAGCGAGGCATGCCAAATGGCCCGTGAACCATAGTTCACGGGTGAGCTTCCCCAACTACTATTACTACTACTACTATTAGCTAAGGTCGATATAGATATACCGACACCGGCAATTCTTTCTTTAGCAAATAATGCTTTGCCAACTACTATATCGACCGAAAAAAGAAAGAAGGTAATTAAACAAAGGAAAAACAATCTCTCTCTTCCTTTTATAGCGGCCTTTCTACCTATCCATCGACTTGCACTTTCAAAGTATTAGTCAAAACTAGCTCTTGCAAAGAGATATTGGCCCCGATTTTGGTCATAGCGTCAGCAAGGTTAGATTTGCCTCCGATCTAGCGTACCTTAAAGAGCTCTCGCTTTTCGTATGACTCTCGAATAGCTATAATATCGATCATTAAGCGCTTCTCTTTAATAGTCCCCAGTTTTACCATGCATTCGTAAAGCGAGTAAGAGTTAGTGCACACGATTACGAAGAAGTTAAGGATTCTTAGTTGAGCCGTGATTTAAGCAAAGGTAGTCGATATAGCAATAGCCATATCGATACTTAAGGATATCGCGTATAGCTTAAAAGCTAATACTGCTCTTATTACCCTCTTGCACTTCTATGACACTTAATATAAGATGTTACTCGTTAAAATGAACTCGTTCTCACTTACGTAAGCTTTATTGCTAAGGATAGCCACGAAACCGATCTAAGAGCTAAGGTCAGCGTTATTAGCAAACGCTCCGTTTACGAACATAAAAAACTTCGCAGTCTTTAGGTTTAAGAGCACGTAATAGATTCCTCGAGTTAAGTGATCGATCAGCTATTGGATCACCTTATTAAAGGCTTTATAGTCTTCGTCCTTCGGTTTTTAATGCTGAGCGGCTATCGATAAAGCGCAAGATGCTTTTAAGTAGCAAATAGTAGCCAAATACGCCCTTCGAGCACGTTGCTTTAAGTACTCTTTAGCCCGTATAGCTGAATCGAGCTTAATTATTGCAAGCCTCTCACCTTGCCCTTTTTGCCTAATTAACAGTCCGAACCCTTCTTTATCCAAGGATAGCTTGCATCCATTGAAAATCATTGGCTCGGCGTGTGTAAAGGTCTTTATTTCTTTGCTTTTTAGCTTGGATTTGACCAGCTTCTTCTCCTCCTTTGCCTTTATAACTAGATTAACAACTATAAGAACATCATCCGTTTATAAGGCAGCTATTCTTAGCTGATCCTTATTAATTAATACAAAAAAGTAAAAATCAAAGCTCGATTGCTTTATCTCGAGGTTATTCGTAAAATGCTTTGAAAAACGCTTATACTAATGCGTTCTTGCTTCAAGGATCTTATATAACGGGCTAGTTATAAAGAACAAAGTGCCGAAAGGGAATCGATAAGTGATCTCTTTAAGTGGTCGCACGACGATTATTCGAATAAGCTTCGTGCTTGATTAAGTATAAGCTTAAATGATATCTTTGCTATAGACTTAATACTCGTAATCTTTTATCAAAGAAAGAGCTAAAGCATAACAGAGTCTTTGGCCCGCTCGCTGCACCGTAAGTGATTCGATAAGTATTTTCGTTTTGCTTTTATCTTAAAAAGCTTAGACTATTATACGAGACTTCTTGTATAGCGTAAGTATTCCCTTGCTTTTGATCTTATTAACAAACCTAGATCCGAAGATCCTAACGCCTTTAGCGCGTAGATCGGTGCTCGGGATCACTTGAAAGATGCCTTAAGCTATCAATCCAACTAATTCCTTTGCTTTAGACTCTTAAAATAGTGCTTCAAGGCTCTTGATAATTCTTTCGGCTCGTAGCTTAATTAAAAGCTTATAATCTCGGCGTTCCTTATCGGTAATCAATACTTTAAAGTCCTTAGTAAATAAAACGTAAGAATCGCTTTTCTCTTCGTCGAGCACGGTCGAGATACTAAAATCGTACTTCTAATAAAGTATCTAAACTATTAGTATTATTGATTTTTAAAGATTAGCAAATTAAAGGTTAAAAGGGCTATTTGTTAGTCTTAGCGAGCTTCTTAGATTAAGCGACCTCGGTGGATTAAACGAATATTAAGGTTTAAGCGAATTTCGTATTTCCAGCTCTTTTTCGCCTTCGCTTTGATTATTTTCTACCTCTTCTTTTATTTCTTCTTCTACCTTTATCTCAAGTACTTGCAACTCTTTTAACAGCTTTTTAACTTTAAAGTAATAAGGTTTTATTAAAGTTGACTTGAATTCCGTAAGCCTCGGACAAGCTACTATGCACGTGTGCCCTTGCTTGCTAAGCAGCTGAAAGAGGCCTTTCTACCTTTGGTTTTCCCGCTATACGAGCACCCGTGAGCTAATAAAAAGGTTTAAGGTATGCTCCGTAATTGGGCCATTCCTTTTCTTAAGCGCGTTCTTAACTTGCTTCGCAGCGTAGCATTTTCGTACTTCCTTTATAGCTTTGTTAATAGCAGTAGCACGCTCTTGAGTAAACGCAGCAAGTCGATCTTGCTCCGTTAGCTTCGGTAAGGTCTTAAAAACGAAGAGTGTAAGAACCAAGCTATTAAGTCT